TCTAAGTAGATGCCCATACAGAATGTCTAATATTGTTGAATATTCATTTTAATATTTGTTCAGTATGCTTTTAGAACTTGTTTTTTTCAAATTGTCAGATATCAATTTGTGCAATAATGATTCCTCAAGTTGCATACAGAAAGATAGTAAAATCATGCAAGCAGAATATTTACATATACCTTGTAGAGTAATACATTTTTTAGAAAACAGAAACACCTGAGAGTGTACATACTTTACTATCCTTAGAGCATATAAATTAGTTATTTAATACCTTTCTAAGTTCTTCGAAAGTTGTGAAAAGTATGCCCCTCAAACTTGGTTTCTTCAAATGTTTGTTAAGAACTACTGAAATTCCGATATACAAGGCTTTCTTTAGTTTATATGAATTTTATATTATCCCTGCAAAATTGTTCTACCATAAGTACACTATATTTCCCAATTTTGAAGTAATGTAATAAAATACCTTTTTCTTTTCTATCATTGTTTATATCAATAATAAAAAAAGTCCAAAGTCTTTCTTTAAATGTAGAATGATGTTTGGTAGATATTCTAGTGAAAAATTGGTTAGTAAAAAATTTATTTTGCTTTGAACTAGCACAATATTCATAAATCCTGAAGTAACGTATAATATATTTGTAATTATATATGTATGTCATATACATCTAGTTAAATAATCCTACATATATTATAATAAATCATCTTTCTTTACAATATTTGTACACGTAGAACCTTTCTGTATTCTTTTAAAAACAATATACAAAAAATTTTGTTCATTACACTAATAGAATAAATAAAATCACAAAAATATAATTCCAAATTACCATTACCTTGCTTCAAGGAGTAAACAATTAAGTGTTCTTTTAATCAATAATTCTATACATAAATAATATGAAATAAAATTTTGAAAGAATATATCTTTAAAAATTCATTCAATAAAATTTTAATAATACTGCTCAGTCATCAGTCGATCTGGAAGGAAAAGAGATGCACATCCAAACATTAATCAACATCAATACATTTAAATAAATTTAAAATAATTTTCTGTAACAAGTATAAATAACTCAATTAATGTTACTGTCCTGGTAAAAGTTCTTATCTTTATATTTTCTAATTACCTAGAAAATTAGATGCAATTATATACAACTAGGAATGGGCAATACAGCGTCGATATTTTAAATATCGATATTTTTGGTCTTTTTTCCTGATATTTTGTACTGGTCTTTCGATATTGATGTCTATTGATATTTAACCAAGAATATCAAATTTCCGATACGGGGTGCATTCTGTTTTATGCTTACAGCATGTAAGCATCATTTGTCTTCATTTAATATTTGATAGACAACAAAGATGAAAGAAAATATATATAAAATATAAAAGTGTATTTTATTATATAAAGTATATAAATATATATGTATATATTTTAATTATTACTATATATATAATATTTATATATATAATATATTTGTTGCAATAATAATTTGTAAAAAATTCTAATGAGAATAATAATTTATTGATATGCCTTGTGTATCAGATTGTGATATCAGCACGTCTATTTTAATGTCCAAAAGGCAGGCTATCTTTGCGTCAAACTTGTTTTATTGATGGATAAGAATATTTATTCAAAGGATCGATGAAATAGCCTCAAAACAATCTCGAACTGTTATTTTTGCAAAAAGATCGATTTTTTGTGCATCGCGTATCAATATATATGCATGTATTGCGAAATCGATATTTCAATATCATATATTATCCAACCGGTATTTTGATGTATCAATATTTCAGTTTACAATACATTGTGATACAAAATATCGAGATTTCTTTCTGTATCGTCCATCCCTATATACAACAGAGAAAGTTCATATATATTATTTTTATTAATATAATCTCTTATTGTTGTGCTATTTTATAAAACATTTGGAACAATAGAAAAAAATTGTCTTATTTCTTATATAAATATTTGATAATTATGTTTGACGGTGTGTTTAGAAAATGGCAAAACGTATGACCTTTTATTAGAGTACTTTAGTATTTTGTAAACACTTTTGCAATTATCAAATGTAAATCTCAAAATCTATAATTCAAATCTTGAATTTAACCAGTAAAATAATTATCAGTAAAATAATCCCTTTAAATAAATTATTAATTGTTTAATATGTACAATATTTAGAATATTCGCAAACACACATTTATATGTAAGAAAGAAAACATCTATCACATTTTGATAAATGTAATGTATATAAAAACACATGTTGTTAGAAACAGGCACTAATTGTAAAATTTTAACATCCAAATAATTAAAACATGTAAAACATATAAATACAATTTTTAGAACGTACATGGTGATTAACAAATAACAATAGGATAAGGAATATGCATTTCGACATTTGTATATATACCTCAAAATATATACTATTCGAAGCTAAAACCAGCTTGTGAACACGTAGCTTTTGTTCATCGCAGATCAATGTGACATCGACTAGAGCCTGACGTGCCAAAAGACCACTGAATCTTTCTGTAATATATCCCGCGTGGCCAGCCCACTGCAGGACACAATCCTTTGGTATCTCAACCATGACTACTGCAAAAAGAAAAATAACAAGAAATCAATATTAAATATATATCTAATAATGTCAATATCAAATGTACAATAAAATAATATCTACTTCCATCTATACATATTTTTCTAATTCTTAGAACTAGAAAAAGATGAAAAATAAGTTCAACAGAGATTAAAGTTAATCTATATGATAGGGAATAAATCTCTTATAAATACCAGAATCATAGTTTTGTTCATCAGACAGAATTCTTTTGTTTTTAACAGATATACAGGGTATCTTTAAATTCTCACATACAGAGTACAAGACATATTTTATGCTAAAACAAACAACTTTTTCGTGTAGCAAAATTGTGTTCGACAAGTAGTTTTAACAGGAGAGCAGGTTGAAGTTAACAATAAATAAGCGCAAAAATTAGTTATCAGGCGCAATTTTGTTAAAGGAAAAGTTATTTGATTTAGCATATCACGTCTCGTATACGGGAATTTAGAGACACCCTGTATAAATTCAAAATCTATGAAGCGGCACATTTAAAAATATTGGTACAAATATTAAAAATATCGGTACAAAATATTGGTGTAAATTTACTAAAGTATATGTATTCAATTAAATGAATCTTGGCAAAGCTGGGACCTATTATGTAACATAGAGAATAGGATAAATGACAAACTTGTTTCTTGATAAATTCAGATGTAGACGTAAAACGAAGCAAGACATGTAACAAAGTTACTGTTTTTCCACCAGTTATTTCAGAGTCTAGAGAAACTGGAAGATATCCCGGTGCATGCAAAACGAATAAATAAATTGATCAGACAAAACTTTCTCTTTTCGCATTTGTCTCTATCATATCTGAACACATGCACGAGCTCTTTCAACAAATATACATACTTATGTGTGCTAAAAAATTAAAACTGTAATTTTTCTAGTGATAACTGTTTTAACGAGAACAACAAAAAATAATCTCGGCAAGACTTTCAGATTTCCGCAGCAAAGCCACACGAGAGAAGTGATCTCGAATGATCTCTGTTGGAGTGACAATGGAAAGTCGTAGAAGGTACCATCTCCTCTCGCATCACCAGGATTGGACGTTGATCACAACCTCGATTCTCTGGCAGGCTCGTGTACTTACCGGTACGGACGTGATCGTTGTCGACGTGCGCATCTGTGATCGGGTAACAGCGGCGTCCTTGCCGCGGTCGGGCATAGATCGTACAGATGAGACGCGTTCGTCGTAACGTCGTTGATGCAGACGCATGCGATCGTAGGTCGCCGATCGCCGGCAGTGATGTCGCGCGTTAGCACGTGCCCTGTCGAGGCTCATGAAACGCCGGCGAGATCGTAGGTCAGCGAAACCGACGGCCTTACACGACATTGGCCTCGAGATTTGACTTGCACCCCCGACAATCACGTCTGCCAAGAGCACAGTCAAGCACAGTGAGGTCGGTGTCAGTCAGTTAGTGCCGCCGGTGCCGCCAGTGGAGCTGGTAGAGCCACAGTATAAATAAGAACGTATATTATATAGATGGGTAGTGGATAGTGGCATTGACGAGATATTATTAAAGACCGTCAACCCTGGGCAAATTTTCGGCGGTATAAAAAGAGCCCGGAGATAATTGAAGAACGTTGACGTTATCGACAATTGATATAAATCTGCTATTATTAACATAAATATTATTGGCTAATTATTAAATTCGTGATTTTTTATTATATAAACGCTCCATAAATAAATATATATATTTGTAAAGCTATAATATCCTATATATTGCTGAAAAATTACAATTTTTTCGTAACGGTCGTAGGGTCTTAAGTCGTAGAAAATTGACCAATCACAGTCGAATATGAGAAGAATAATCAACTGTGATTGGTCAATTTTCTATGACTTAAGACCCTACGACCGTTACGACTTCTATTGTAGACCCCGCATTACTTCAAAAGATTGAGATTGAAGATCGAAAGATTGAAATTTGACCAATCGAAACGAAAGGAGCTAAAATTTCTTTGTCCTTATTGGTCAAATTTCAATCTTCAATCTTCAACCTCAATCTTCAATGCGTAGTCTGATTCCGGCGCCTTAGAGATTTTATATTTTGAAAAACAGTGAAGATATCATGTCACCTAACCTGACTTTTTCTAAGGCAGATCGGTGTAAACAAGAACGTAAATAAGTCGCAGCACGCAAACTGCATTCGCATTCGCGACAGCCAATTATAAGCGTCAATGGTATTAATAACAGCTTCTGATTGGATGTCGTGAATACGAATGCGAATATGTTTTGCGTGTTGAGACTTATCTATACGGGACTTTACCGATGATAGTTTATGCCTGGTTTATGCTTCGGTCTTAACCCTAAAATCCTAAAATTCAGCCAATGAAATACAGATTTCCGTTAGGATCAATTAAGACTGGCAGCTCTATTGGCTGAATTTTAAGATTTTAGAATTAAGACCGAAGCATAAACCAAGCATTACAAATTTCATGTGGTATTATTATAGACATATAAAAATGTATGCAGATGAAGGTAAGATATGAATTAGTTTTTTAATAAATCTATTGTGAAATAATTTGAAAATTCTAACCTTAGCAACTCATCATCGAATTTATTTCTCTATTATTATCGAATATGATTGAATTCAACACATCAAATTTAGTTTCATTTATAATTTCTTTTTCTTAACAGATTCTAGGGTTTATACGATTTATTTTCGTATGAACAACCCTCCTTCACTAAAAGTGGATTAACTAAATCTAAATATGTCCAACTGAAACGTATGTGCCTTTTTCATAAATTTTTATGATTGATATTATGTTATCTCAATATTTTTAAGGTTATGTAATATTGAAATAATTTCAGATAATGACAAAGTGGAGTTTATCCAAAAAACATACGGTCCAAAAGTTAAAGATTAGAACCCTGCTGTCGATGTTTTGTACCGATCGATTGATGATATTAATTAGTAAATTTATTAGAATAATTATTGCAACTCTGGAATTTCCAATTAATTTCTATAACTTTAAATTTCTTCCCTATTTTATAGCACACGAGTTATGATACCAAAGCAACTACTTACTAAAAAGAAGAATCCTCTGGTTTCTCATGCAAGTGACTTCGACGTAGATTCAGTGATGTCATGTAGTGCGGTGAACTCTCATCACGAAGCACATGATACATCATCAGTAGCAGATCTATCTTCCAACAATGAATGTTCTAGTGCCAGATTCATCTGAATCAAACATCCACTGAAGATTATCCATTGTCCAAACGAAAAAATTGATGTCAAAAGTAACTATATTAAACAAAGAACTTCTGATACATGATGAAAAAATATCAATCTAAAATTTATGGCTTGTTTCAGCAAAGCAACTTGTCCTGAACTGATGAAGCTTTTGATAGGATAACTTCTTATACAAGTTTGTGCGAATTTCAAATAATCAATAAGAACATTAGATAGTCAATGATCTAATATTCATTTATCATTTTCAGAAAGTGGAGTACAATTGACAAAATTACTGGATTTGACTGAATTAGGTTTCAGATACTTCGTGAAAATAGCAATTCCCTGTTATTGTCTACCTCATTGAAAGATTCTAACTAAATTAATAGAGAATCGCTGTACTGAAACGAAAGAACGTTATAAGTCTACTCTCGAAAAAGCTTTGTGCTATACATTAACATGCGATAATTGGACTGATTGCTTTTTAAAACTATTTGAGTGTCATCATTCATTACATATTTGAAGATCTCGTCATGAAAAATGGATGTTTGGAAGTCTCCGTTATATACGAATCAACAGAGTACCTCACGGAATGTCTCAATTCTGTCATTGATGATTTTAAATTAGATCGAAAAAAAAAATTATGGCAATTGTCAGTGATGGAGAGGCAAATATTAAAGCTGCTGTATATAATGTTCTGAAAAACATTTGATGTTTTGCACATTTTTTGTCTCACCTAATACCTAAAGTAATAAAAGATGTGTCAACGATCTTATTGATATAGTAAAAAAAATTGTGCTTATCAGAAGAAGTATTGTAACTTCAGACGAGTTGAGTTAAAACGATTATAAATGTGATGGAAAGACAGAAGAAACTGCATTAAAATTTATCCTCGACGTTCCGACTTGCTGGAATTCCACTCTCTACATGTTAGAGAGATTTCTCATTTTAGGACAGTATGTTTATGCAGTTACTTTGAAATGCAAAAAAGCTGACGTTCCAGATATGCTGACTGATATGCTGAATGTTAGTAACAACTTTGACTCTTTTTGTTACTATGTACGTTTAGTTACGCTTTGTTACTATATACGAAATGGTACGTGAACGGCGTAGATTTTTACATCCGAACAAGATTTATCATGCGTTTTTTACGAGAACTTATTGTATATCAAATCCATGTAAAACTGTATCTGAAGAGGGCTCAATCTGGTAGCCGAAACTTGTAATTTCTGTTATTTATTTATGTGTTTCTCAATTTATTTAATTAAATGTTATTTTATATTCAGACTGACTCAATCTTTCATATTTCACCAATTTTCGGACTATAATTTTTACGTATTGACTCTTACTTCGCCCTTTATTTATTATTTTTATTTTAATCATTCTAACATGATATTAAATACTTGATGTTTAATAAGTTTCTTCTTTGTATAATCGTATAAATCTTGTGGCTTTCTATATGTATATTTTTGTTTCCAAATTATGGAAATGCAACTGTGTGATACTAGTAATATTTATATGTATACATTGTGTATTCATTGTTATAGATTTATATAAATTTATAACTACAAAGTGTTTTTCCTAACATATATTAAATATACAATAACTGCTGATTAAATAAATTAGATATATTGTACGTTAACAAAGCCCTAACATTATATAATATTTTATTCATCTAGAGGGATAAACTTCACATTATATGTATATATATATATAAATTTTAACTTAAATTACGTCTTAATTACGAGCGATTTTTATATATTTTTTTTTCCTGAGAAACACTTCATCCGTCTGGAGAATAAATGTGTCACGAGAGTGATATCGATTTTTATTTGTTTTACAAAAATAATAATTTAAATATATAATACCTACATTATTTTTTTGAAATCGGTATTTTAAATTACTGCATCTATAGAAGGATACAGAGGGGAAGGAAAAGATTGTTACATTCGTCGCATTTTAATCACGTTATTACGGCTTACGTCTTCCAATCATTTGATTTTTCTAAATCCTTGCAGCATGTTTGATTTAAGAATTATTGCTGTAACACATCAAATTTTAATAAAAATTATATATAAGGGAGCGAAGTTATTGTACGACGCTATCTACCTATATTTGTCAAGCAAGAAAACATTCCACTATAATTATGGTTGAGAAAAGAAATCTGATATTTTGAAGCAACCGAGAAGATATAGATTATATTTTACGGATCGGGAATGCCATAATGCCGGACTCAAGTCCGTTTATTCATCCGTGGAATCGGATTTCCGTGTCTAGCTGTTTGATCGTTGTCGGTACGTTCGTTGTGGAAAGAATAGAAGACAGGGATGTCGAAGTCGCGATCGCTTCTAGGTCTTCCTTAGATAGATTTTTCATGAGCCAATTATCGATCATAGGCACGTTTTCTTCATTCCATTTAGTCTCCTGATTAATGATCTTAAGCGCTTTCTTGATGATGGCGTCCGCTGATTCGAATTCGTCCTGATGATCCATGTACAGCTTGCTCACCTTATCGTAACCCTCCTGCGTGTTGAACGACGACGTAGCAAAATTGACGATACCATCCCAGAGGAAGGTCTTGTTCTCGAATTGCTCTTTTACGGTGTACCAGTGATCGAGCAAGAAGTTGAACAGAGTTTTATAGCCGGTCGCACTGCCGGTCAGCATACTAAAGATCAAGTGGATGTCCGGGTCCGTGAAATTCTCGTTCTGGTCCAGGACGGCTACTTGCAGCAATCTAATGCGGAGGATGCAAAAACAATGTGATAAATATTTATCATTGATATTTATTCATTATTTTCTCGAGACAAAGAAAAAACTAGGTAGAAAGCAGAATCATAATTAAGTCACAATAATATCATAAGATGTCATCATAACGTCATTTGATACTTAAAAATGAACTTACAAATGCCAATAAATACTGTGTGTATGTTATAAGAAATAGGATTATTTAGGTATTCAAAGCTGTAAATTTTGTGAATATACTGACCTTTCGATCTTATTCGCATCCTTCGGACATCCAGCGAGAGTCTTCAGTAAGTAGGTGCGTTCGTTCTGCTTTCTAGCCAGGCTGGTCTTCGGGAAATTTATGACTCGCTGCAATCCAAACTCCCATTCTTCGTCGGTGCCCCATTTGAATACAGGGCAAAGGAATTTGTTGGCGACCCTGCGAAGCATAATTCTCGCTAATTCACTAATGTTTTGTTATCACCGATGAAACGTATGATTATTAATTTGATTAACTCGTAAGTGACATCTAGGTGCGAATTCGCAAAATTTTCAACTTGTAATATTTGAGAAAATTGGTTTTGCTTAACATTCTGTTTTGAATGAATAACATATCGTTTTTCAAAAATTAAATATTATCAATCGATTGGTTAGAAAATTTTACATTGAAAAATATATGTTTTACTTTAATTTTTAACTTTTGGAAGTATAAATCATATAAAACATTAATTAAAGAATTATTTAATTCATTTTTCTAACAAATGTCAAATTTTCCGAGCGAAAGACACTCATTTTAGTTAGTAGGAGGTAGGATACTATAACTTCTAACCGTTACTTTTTCTAAACTAATTGGATATCTAGGTAACTTCCTTTGTAAGTTATACATAAAAGGTTACATTTTCAACATCCTTTTTTTCTCTTATTCCATCGTTAACCTACGATAGAATTTTGCACACGTCAATTTCGGTACTTCAACTTCATTATATAAAAAAATTAGACATTTCTCTATGGTAAATCGATTTACTAAAGAACCATCTTAATAGATGGTTTCTTATGATTTCAGATACTGACGGATTTCCTTTGTCCGGCTCTTCGTCAGTCAACCATTTTTTGAATTGATTCCTGGCTTCCATAACGCAAGGTTCATATCCAGCACGGCAAAGGAAATTCTGCATAAGACCACGCATGTGGGTTTTCCAGGAAGGTTCATCAGGTTGAGGATTCTCTCCAAGTTCCAAGTAGAGAGGCTTCAATAAGCTTCGAATATAGGCCTAAAATTAAATTTTATTTAATTGTTAATTAAAGTACAATCTGATGTTAAGAAATTAAATAACAAATTGAATTCGGAACCTATCTATATGAAATGACTTATTTTACACTAAAAGAAAAAATAGTTACAATTATATTATTATATAATTTAACTATAATTTATAATTACAATTACAATTTCTATTTTAGCGCTAATATTGAATATTAGCTGCACCTCTATTTAATTTTGTCATTTATAATACTGAACACTAATAATTTTAATGAATTGATCAAAAGCAACATCTACTCACTTCAAATTTCAAATATACGTCCAAACCCTCGATGCGCCGACCGATATGATTAATCATTGTGAATACTGGTTCCCAAACCACATGGCTCTTTTCTTCCTTGAGGAAGAGAGTCATGTTCATCGCAACGCCAAAGCACAGTTCGCCAGCGTATGCCAAGTTCCATGCATCGTGCAGAAGTTTCGCTCTGGTTAACGGAGGTATTTTCTCACGATCTGGCCCTTGCAAATATTGCGACAGCATCCTCCAGTTGCACGTATCGTAGTTTACCGGAAACATCCCTTCGAAATAATATTAATTCTTAGTAAACATGATTAAGTTATTCATGTTCTGCGCATTTCTCTTCTTTGAAATATTAGGAGCCCTCAGTCTCTATTCTTTCCTCTTTTTTAAATATACAACTTTATAAGTACTTTCCAAAGATGGTAAAGTCATGATACATGTAAGAATCACTTAATAATTTTTGTATACTTGTAAGTGTGGTGGAAATTATGGGACATGAACGACTTATCCATTAATTAAAATTATGTTGCAATAACATTTTTGTAACGTTGCGTTATAACCATGCGACATTTCGTGTTTTGTCGCATAAATGTTTTGGTAATGTTCTAGGAACCAGAAATATCCTAAGTCGATTACTTTACATATGCGACGTCACATTTGAGGCAATATTTTTATAAATTGCAAAGAAAATGTTTTACACAAAACATTATTTCCACGTCACGAAACGTTTCTTTTATGACCTTCCAAATATTTAAGGCGAAAATGCGACATGTTCC